GTCTTTATAAAATTGCCTGGGGAAATCTTCCCCTTTCAGTTGAATCCTAATGGATAAATTGGCCTATTAACCCGCAAGGGTAGTGTAACACCCCAAACAAGCATATAACACATATTTCATTTCATATAAATATATTTTACATCACAAGGTCCCACTAGTACAAGGATTCCTATATGAATAAAATCATACTTGTTCATTGCTCGTCGACGACGAAAATCTCCGAGCTAATATCTAACATTACGATACGGCGCCATAAATCCTCAAGTATTTGTATACGCAGCATCACATAGGTAATATTTATTTAAAAACAATAAATAAAATGCTTGTTCAAATGAATATAGCAAATATATTACCTGTAAAATCAATAGTATACATCGTGAGTTGGATCTGCCTGGTCTCTAATGTCAGATCAAACTAGTATGGTGTTGACTTTTCTCTTTAGGGTTTCAAGCATGAAGATGGTGAGGAAAGTTGGATCGTGAGTTGGATCTGCCTGGTTCGTTTTTTCGTGGTGTTTGCAAAGCTTGTTCCTCTTTTCTTACTGTTATTTTTCTGTTGCGCTTTGGTGTGTTGTGGGTTCTTCTAGGGTTTGTTTCAATCTGACTTTGGACGTTCTTGTCTGTTCGACCTGCTGCTTGTGTGGATCTGGTGGATTTTGGAGCTCATTCATGTTGTCTAGCCAATCCTTACCAGCTAGGGTTTTCTAGTGGGTTGACTTTACCTGCTGGTTTTCCCGTCTTCTAGGGTTTCTGCTGGTTTTCGTGTTTCTAAAGTCTTCCTTTCAGGTACGTGGGTTTATCCTCTGGTTACTTCTGGTTTTGTGGGAGGTGGTTTTGCTTTATCGGTTCCTCCAAAAGCTGTTGCATCACTTCGGTCTAGATTGACAATGCCGACTGGTTGAAGGTGTTCACAGCGGGTTTCTTAGTTTTATCCAATGGGTTTTTCTACCTTCCTGCTGGTTTTAGACTGCTGGTTTCTTCTTGTTTTTTTCGTGAAGCTGCTGGTTTATTTTACGTGTTTTTCTGTGTACGAGTTGAAGACTTTGTGGCCTCGTTGAAGGTGTTTTATTTTCTGGTTATTGATCCTTCAAAGCCGTGACTTATTGCTGTGATTTTATGTAATACCTTATGGTTCCTTGTGGCTTTTCCTTTATTCGGTTCTTGTTTCTGAGGTGTTCTGGTTGCTCGGCTGCTAGTTGGTTTGGTTTTTTTAGCTGCTGGTCGTTTCTTGCTGCTTCTAGAACTGTCATTTTATGTGCTACCAGGCTGTGTTATAGCCAGTTTGGACTGAATATTCCTGTTTTCTGTTCGACCTGCTGGTTGTTTCGAAGTTGCCCGCTGTTGGTTTTTGTAATATTCTCGTTGTTAATTTCAGGTTTATATATATATATATATATATTTATATATGTATAAACGGGTATGTATGTGTGAGTGTAATATATATATAAGTGATCATTTAAAATTTTAAAATAAAAGAAGGAAGGTCGGCTGATTGTGCCGACCCACCACCTCTCCTCTTTTCTTTCTTGTATATATATATATATATATAGAATTTTTGGGAAGAAGAGAAGGTACATACACATATACTATATTTGGAAGGATTTTTCTCTGAAGAATCAGGAGGGTTACCAGGAAGAGGATTCAAAAGCTTTGTTACTCGAATTCTAAAAGGTGAGTGTATTAAAGCTTTGAGTATAAAGTGTTTATATACAATTTGGTAGAATTTGGAACTGGTTGTTATGAATTCTGTATCAATTTATGCAAACTGTTTAAGTGATGCCCGGATTGTTAACCGGACAAATAAACCGTTCAAGTACCAACCGGGTTTATCTTAAACCGTGTAAGAGGTGACCAGTTTACTTCTAAACCGCTCAAAGGGTGATCGGTTTACTTCTAAACCGCTCAAAGGGTGATCGGTTTACTTCTAAACCGCTTAAGAGGTGACCGGATAATAGTCTAAACCGGTCAAGTGTTGTGCGGTGTATTGACCGGATTGTTTTAAACCGGACAAAGGTTGGGCAATGTATTGTCCGGTTTACTTTAAACCGGTTAACAATGAAAGTGAAGTATTGTCCGGATTACAAATCCGGACAAAGATGTTAATTTCAAGTGTTTGTTGACCGGACTTGTTATCCGGACAAGATTGACCGGACTTCAAGTCCGGATAAAGAGATAGAAATTTTTTTGGGCAAATGTTTTTGAGATGAAATGGCGGTGTAACCGCGATAGAGATAAAATGGCGGTATTATGAGAGAGAAGTAATGGCGATGTACCGCGAGAGAGATGAAATGGCGGTGATGTAATGGCGGTGTAACCGCGAGAGAGATGAAATGGCGGTGTAACCGCGAGAGAGATGAAATGGCGGTGTAACCGCGAGAGAGATGTAATGGTG